AACTGTGTATATACTGTAATTCAATAAGTACACATTTAGTAATCAGTATACACACAGTTAAATGACACAAATTAATAATGAAATCCTGACATATTCTCATAAAAACATTGTAAATGGATTTATTAATACCTATAAATAGCAAGCTATATAAAATAATTGTACTTAAAATACTAGGAAAACAATGAAAGGTCAGTAAGACTGAAGCCAATAAAATGCAAAGCACTAGTTAGTTCTATTAAAGGTACAAATAAGAAACACTAACATCATGTTGAAAAAGAGAGTTGTTGCAAGTAGAGTTGACACCCATCCTTTTTCTTAAGGACAGTTACTTCAGTTGTAATGTCTTTCTGTCCTTATTTAGTGGTAAAATGTCTTTCCTAAGAGCAAAACAGAAAATGTAGCAGCTAATAAATTGTTAAATATGAAATAAGATTATTTTATTGCATCCATTTTGTACTTTTGATCATATTTCACTTATTATACTAACACAGTATAGTGTAGAACAGTGATCCCCTAAATATAGGGTTTTGTTGTTGCCTAAACATTATTCCTCTGCTTAAAAAATCTTCAAAAGTGTTATGTATATTTTTTCTCTTGCTTTCTTTGATAGCCAAATAAAAATGCACAACACTTGATTGAAGAATATTGGCAAATATTGGCAATCAACAACAACAAGAAAAAAAATTAGTGGATTTGTATATATGAAAAAATTATCCAGAAAACAATAATTGTAAGAAAATAGATATTGGAATCATTGGCAAAAAAAAAAAACATAAATGCCAGCAGACACACAGACAGAACCCTTGGAAAGCAGACAGTCTGCACAAAACACAGATGTTCAAGCTCTGTAGTGTTTTCACTTACAAGTTCAGCTCAGATAATCATGGTTTTACTGTACAATTGTAAGGAGCTGTTCTATACTCTATCAAGTTGATCAACTGTTTCTTTTCAGTTTCTATTATGAGGTGTATAAGCTATTATTACTGTACTTATCTAGGATTGCATACCCAACCTTCTACTAGAACAGCAAGTATTGACAAATCAAAATGAGTCAATTACACACCAATTACATATTACTGATATTTAAAAAATATGCTTTTATCATAAAATCATCTTTAGATTCAGATACTTTCACACTAAGAATTATTCCAACCATTTGACTCACTAAATTCATACCATTCAACAATACTCAAACATACTACAGTAATTAACTTCTTTTATTATGAAAGCTCATAACATGGGGTCTTATGTGATGAGATTATGCACGAGTTACCTTCTCCGGGAGGAGTGATGTAAGTGCATCTTGGATTCGAAAGAACTTTTCCGTCTTTTACTACTCCAATACCCAATTTATTAGCGCTGCCTTCGAAACCAATGGCCACAGGCATTTTAATTTTAAAAATAACGAAAATAAAAGTAATTCATAAAACCGCGAACGAGTCCGAGGCATGAACAGAGCTGCCATGCCTTCGCGGGAACTTATTAAATATGGTAATTTACGGTAACATTTTTTAATTGTAAATAAATATATATATATATTATATTAATAAAATTCTAAAAATATATATTATATAAAATTTTATTTGAAATGTTGTTTAATAACATAATTTAAAATATTTAACTTTTAAAATTATTTTACATTTTATTATATATTTTATTTTATATGTATAAATATACTGTATTTAAACAGTTTGTGAAAAAATAAATTAATGAAAATAACTTTAAGCCTCTAGATAATCTTTATTAAATGCAGTACGATAGAACGTTGATTTTCCAAACACCGATTAACCGAATGTCTAATTATTCGAACCATTACTTGCTCTCCCTTTTCTTCACATTGACGTCACACTGCAATTCTCTTAAGTCATGTGACTGCTTGATCAGTGATGCCTATTTGCTGTGACAAATCCAACTGATCAGTAGGATGCTACTCGCATATTGATGAATAAATAAATATACGTATGTACAGTACTGTACTGTACAGCACATACTGTATTTATTTATTCATCTGTACAGTACGTACTGTATTTATTTAAATGCAGTACGTACTGTACAATACAATGCTGTCACCCTGTAATTCTTTACATAATAATTCATTTATCCGAATTTTCCATTATCTGAATCACCTGCAGAAATAATCAATTCGGATAATTGGAGTTCTAGTATATTTTCAATGCTGCGTGTCTTAACTCTTTAGTTTTTTCCCCTATTCATTCAATCTGTGGACACTAAAAAGACAATTTTTCTAGAAATATTATGGGTTTGTCAGGTTTACCGTAGATATGACCGAGTGTGAAACATTGATCCCAACATATTCGGGAAATCTACTTAAAACATCTGAAAAATTCTGAAAATAACTGAAGGGTTCTTGGCCCGAACTCGAACATGAGTACTCTAGAGCGGCAGGCTGATGTCTTAACCGTGTCGGCAACCGGCCTGCCTATCTATTGTGTGTCAATCAACACGTTTTGGAAAACCAAACTCTGTTTTGGATTGGAACGTCAGTAACTTTCATAAATAGTTTGAATTGAATTTTATTTAAAGAAACTTTAAATAGACAAAAATAGACAAACCAGCAACCATCTGTAAATTACTAAAACCACGAATTTCTCGTAAATATTATTATCAAATCATATGACTTTCAACTCCCAAATTCAAACGTGTAAACCTCATTACTATGTAATTTTTATTGTTTGAGCTACTTCGATTTAGCGCTACACTCGATTAGTATCATTGATTGTAAATAATTTTAACTTATTTTTTCGTACTAGTATAATAAAAACATGTATCCTAAATATCTGCACTTCGAGTCTGTTTTAAATTCATTATTTATTTTTAAATTGAGATTTTGGGGGTACAGATAGGATTTTTAATGTTCAGATGGCATGATCAGGACTAGGATCGGCTGTAATTCGAACTTTATTCTTAATCCGTTCCATTAACCCCAGAAAGTGCTCAGCTTTAAAATTTGTCCATGATCTTTTCTTGTAATTCCTTCGTGGATCTAGCTTTCCAACCATTTTCATAAACTTTTTGCTTCAATTTGATATCAGCAGTGGACTGCTTCACATTTTGAGCCTCCATGCGAACACGACAATAAAGATCTTCCTGTGAAACTTCTGGCCTCTTTCAGGGCACTTCTGAATACTGATGTTATCCATCTCCAATATTTTTTACTTTAATGTATGATTGTATATTTTGTATAATCAGCCTTTTGCCCTCTTTTTGAAAAATGGATTCTCAGTCGACTGGGTCCCTATACAGTCGCATAGTCTGTATCTATTGTAGATCTGCCACTGGTTGCTACCAAAATATCTCAGTCGGTTTCTTTTGGAACGTTCGAAACGTTGGCTTCACGGCAGACGCATAGAATTCTGTAACGGCACAACTTGGCAACTGTGTCATTAGCGATAGCCATGTCTGGCGAGAAGACATATTGTTAGTCAGGGCAGTATTTTTTTACTCTCTCCTGGATGCATTCGTTGCCATAAACTTCTTTGGTGATAGAGAACCGTGACAGACAATGAGAACCTGTGAATGTTCCCAAGGACTGATTGCCAGCCAAACCAGAAGCTTTGGCGAAAACTTGAAGTATCGTTTGAATTTGATTTCCGGATCCCCATCTAGACCTTGTTTGGCAAAACAGTGATTGTTACCAGCACATTCATTTCCGTCAAAAGTAAAATAGTACTCGTCGTTAATAACCACATCAAGATTGTTTGATGCCTTCGAGCTCTATCACAGCCTATGCAGATGTGTTTTTGAGTAATAAGTCGCTTCGTATATTTTTGAGCAGATTTTCACTTCTTGAGTGTCAAGACGTTCTTTCAGAATCTGGCAAACATATCCTAATTTTTTAAGCATTTGCCCAACGTTTCCCAAGAATTCTTTCTCTAATTGATTCTTCCTCCTTTCAGTTATTTTCCTTTTTTTTACCATTTCCCATCCTATGTTTTGCAAGTTCTCCTTACTCTATTCTTGAAATGATGCTATACACTGTACGCCATGGAATTCCCATTGCAGAGAAACGTTTAAGATTTCTCATTTTTACGATTTACAATATAAAAGCTGTCATTTCCTCGATCGAATTCATTTAATCCATTTTTAAAATATGATGTTATTTACGAAACTTTTTCGATAAATGGAATCAAGAACATTCTACAAAGTATGCTATTTCGCGTACATGTTTAATTATTCGATATTACAAGAAAACGCAATTGAAATTTGTACAGATTTTTAGGATTTACGCCTATATTTAATATAACTTAGTTCTGATACAATGTACTAATTCCTTAATTGAAACTGCTAAGCTTACAAAATTTTAATGTTTTAAAATATAAATTTCACTATACAACACTATTTTATTTAAATATAAATATACAACTGAATGAAACATCTTAACTTGAAACAAATGTATTGAAATAAATATATACATTTCATAATAAAAATGTGATAAAAAAATTTCCTAGTTTTCATTTTTACCTCCATTTTTTATAATTAACTGATTATTATTAAGTATACAGAATTATATGTAATTGTTTCTTTAATAACTCAATTATAATGTTGTAAGTGGATATTTTTCTCTTAAATTACCTGGAATATATCTTTAAAATTGTAGTTTATGAAACATTCTAACGGGAGTAAGAAGAAAATTTAGGAAACTCTTTAAAATTCCATCATTGTTATTTGATTTATTATTATTGATTTTTTCAGAATATTCAAGATGAGGAATATCATCTCTTGACTCATTAGAAGGTACCATTAATTGTCGATATTCTCCACATTCTTCGCATTTTTGAATGACAGAATTATTTATTTCTATATTTAATTTCTGTCTACTTCTTTTTATAGTTCGTAATCCAATTGAACGCTTTATCTTATTAATGCTGTAGTTATTTTCTTCGCAGTTATTTACGGCAAGTTTATTTTCCTGTGCACATTTCTTTTGAGAAATCCACAACTTCTTGCATTGAATCGTCAAAACGTATTCGTAAGGGTGAAGACGATATTTTTTATTTCCTTTTCTGAATGAAATTAATTTAGAGAAAGCCCAAAACATCTTCTGGATGTGGACAGACAAGCAATTAGTCAAAATAATGGCAGATTTTGGTAAATCACCAACATTCAACTCCGAATCCAGCCATAAAATATTTCTTATAACGTCTTCAATCTCATTTTTGATTATTTTCTGATCCAATGATAATAATGAGATAGAATCTTCTTTTAAAATTATTTTACATTTTATTATATATTTTATTTTATATGTATAAATATACTGTATTTAAACAGTTTGTGAAAAAATAAATTAATGAAAATAACTTTAAGCCTCTAGATAATCTTTATTAAATGCAGTACGATAGAACGTTGATTTTCCAAACACCGATTAACCGAATGTCTAATTATTCGAACCATTACTTGCTCTCCCTTTTCTTCACATTGACGTCACACTGCAATTCTCTTAAGTCATGTGACTGCTTGATCAGTGATGCCTATTTGCTGTGACAAATCCAACTGATCAGTAGGATGCTACTCGCATATTGATGAATAAATAAATATACGTATGTACAGTACTGTACTGTACAGCACATACTGTATTTATTTATTCATCTGTACAGTACGTACTGTATTTATTTAAATGCAGTACGTACTGTACAATACAATGCTGTCACCCTGTAATTCTTTACATAATAATTCATTTATCCGAATTTTCCATTATCTGAATCACCTGCAGAAATAATCAATTCGGATAATTGGAGTTCTAGTATATTTTCAATGCTGCGTGTCTTAACTCTTTAGTTTTTTCCCCTATTCATTCAATCTGTGGACACTAAAAAGACAATTTTTCTAGAAATATTATGGGTTTGTCAGGTTTACCGTAGATATGACCGAGTGTGAAACATTGATCCCAACATATTCGGGAAATCTACTTAAAACATCTGAAAAATTCTGAAAATAACTGAAGGGTTCTTGGCCCGAACTCGAACATGAGTACTCTAGAGCGGCAGGCTGATGTCTTAACCGTGTCGGCAACCGGCCTGCCTATCTATTGTGTGTCAATCAACACGTTTTGGAAAACCAAACTCTGTTTTGGATTGGAACGTCAGTAACTTTCATAAATAGTTTGAATTGAATTTTATTTAAAGAAACTTTAAATAGACAAAAATAGACAAACCAGCAACCATCTGTAAATTACTAAAACCACGAATTTCTCGTAAATATTATTATCAAATCATATGACTTTCAACTCCCAAATTCAAACGTGTAAACCTCATTACTATGTAATTTTTATTGTTTGAGCTACTTCGATTTAGCGCTACACTCGATTAGTATCATTGATTGTAAATAATTTTAACTTATTTTTTCGTACTAGTATAATAAAAACATGTATCCTAAATATCTGCACTTCGAGTCTGTTTTAAATTCATTATTTATTTTTAAATTGAGATTTTGGGGGTACAGATAGGATTTTTAATGTTCAGATGGCATGATCAGGACTAGGATCGGCTGTAATTCGAACTTTATTCTTAATCCGTTCCATTAACCCCAGAAAGTGCTCAGCTTTAAAATTTGTCCATGATCTTTTCTTGTAATTCCTTCGTGGATCTAGCTTTCCAACCATTTTCATAAACTTTTTGCTTCAATTTGATATCAGCAGTGGACTGCTTCACATTTTGAGCCTCCATGCGAACACGACAATAAAGATCTTCCTGTGAAACTTCTGGCCTCTTTCAGGGCACTTCTGAATACTGATGTTATCCATCTCCAATATTTTTTACTTTAATGTATGATTGTATATTTTGTATAATCAGCCTTTTGCCCTCTTTTTGAAAAATGGATTCTCAGTCGACTGGGTCCCTATACAGTCGCATAGTCTGTATCTATTGTAGATCTGCCACTGGTTGCTACCAAAATATCTCAGTCGGTTTCTTTTGGAACGTTCGAAACGTTGGCTTCACGGCAGACGCATAGAATTCTGTAACGGCACAACTTGGCAACTGTGTCATTAGCGATAGCCATGTCTGGCGAGAAGACATATTGTTAGTCAGGGCAGTATTTTTTTACTCTCTCCTGGATGCATTCGTTGCCATAAACTTCTTTGGTGATAGAGAACCGTGACAGACAATGAGAACCTGTGAATGTTCCCAAGGACTGATTGCCAGCCAAACCAGAAGCTTTGGCGAAAACTTGAAGTATCGTTTGAATTTGATTTCCGGATCCCCATCTAGACCTTGTTTGGCAAAACAGTGATTGTTACCAGCACATTCATTTCCGTCAAAAGTAAAATAGTACTCGTCGTTAATAACCACATCAAGATTGTTTGATGCCTTCGAGCTCTATCACAGCCTATGCAGATGTGTTTTTGAGTAATAAGTCGCTTCGTATATTTTTGAGCAGATTTTCACTTCTTGAGTGTCAAGACGTTCTTTCAGAATCTGGCAAACATATCCTAATTTTTTAAGCATTTGCCCAACGTTTCCCAAGAATTCTTTCTCTAATTGATTCTTCCTCCTTTCAGTTATTTTCCTTTTTTTTACCATTTCCCATCCTATGTTTTGCAAGTTCTCCTTACTCTATTCTTGAAATGATGCTATACACTGTACGCCATGGAATTCCCATTGCAGAGAAACGTTTAAGATTTCTCATTTTTACGATTTACAATATAAAAGCTGTCATTTCCTCGATCGAATTCATTTAATCCATTTTTAAAATATGATGTTATTTACGAAACTTTTTCGATAAATGGAATCAAGAACATTCTACAAAGTATGCTATTTCGCGTACATGTTTAATTATTCGATATTACAAGAAAACGCAATTGAAATTTGTACAGATTTTTAGGATTTACGCCTATATTTAATATAACTTAGTTCTGATACAATGTACTAATTCCTTAATTGAAACTGCTAAGCTTACAAAATTTTAATGTTTTAAAATATAAATTTCACTATACAACACTATTTTATTTAAATATAAATATACAACTGAATGAAACATCTTAACTTGAAACAAATGTATTGAAATAAATATATACATTTCATAATAAAAATGTGATAAAAAAATTTCCTAGTTTTCATTTTTACCTCCATTTTTTATAATTAACTGATTATTATTAAGTATACAGAATTATATGTAATTGTTTCTTTAATAACTCAATTATAATGTTGTAAGTGGATATTTTTCTCTTAAATTACCTGGAATATATCTTTAAAATTGTAGTTTATGAAACATTCTAACGGGAGTAAGAAGAAAATTTAGGAAACTCTTTAAAATTCCATCATTGTTATTTGATTTATTATTATTGATTTTTTCAGAATATTCAAGATGAGGAATATCATCTCTTGACTCATTAGAAGGTACCATTAATTGTCGATATTCTCCACATTCTTCGCATTTTTGAATGACAGAATTATTTATTTCTATATTTAATTTCTGTCTACTTCTTTTTATAGTTCGTAATCCAATTGAACGCTTTATCTTATTAATGCTGTAGTTATTTTCTTCGCAGTTATTTACGGCAAGTTTATTTTCCTGTGCACATTTCTTTTGAGAAATCCACAACTTCTTGCATTGAATCGTCAAAACGTATTCGTAAGGGTGAAGACGATATTTTTTATTTCCTTTTCTGAATGAAATTAATTTAGAGAAAGCCCAAAACATCTTCTGGATGTGGACAGACAAGCAATTAGTCAAAATAATGGCAGATTTTGGTAAATCACCAACATTCAACTCCGAATCCAGCCATAAAATATTTCTTATAACGTCTTCAATCTCATTTTTGATTATTTTCTGATCCAATGATAATAATGAGATAGAATCTTCTTTTAAAATTATTTTAAATTTATAAAAAACATCTTCGTATCTTATTAAATGTGATCGTTCTTTTACACTCAATTTAAAATTTAACGCCATTTTTCGTTTTCATAAGTGTTGCCAGCTTTTAGAATAAATTTCCACCGAAATTTAATTAGTTTTTTTTTCCCCTCAAACTGAAATACACCAATGGTTGAGACATAGCTTACGTGATAGATTCAAGGCAAAAAATAGAAATTCTGTCAATAAATTTGGTTTACTTTAATTTTTTTAAAATGCCGCTAGATTCGCGGTTCCTTTAATCACAATGAGAGAAGATAAAATTAATGAGAACGAGCTTTTTAAAACTCTTTCAACCCTGCGGACATTTAAGAGGATCTTTTTAACAAGCCCATTACTGGTTCGGACAGGACTGCAATGGGGTAGCCGGATAGTCAGAAATGAGTCTGACGTATCCAGACAGACCACCCCAAAAACTTTCGTTCCTCCAGAGAGGGGAAAGACTGTCACCTTAACCACTCAGCCATCCGATCAGTAGGAAACATTTTTGCTTATATACTTATTATTAATAGTAATTCTTCTACACTGCAGTGTGCCTTATTGCTCGACGGCCAGATGACCGAGTGGTCAAGGTAGCAGCCTACCGCTCTGAGAGACACGGGATTGAATCCGGACGGGTCGAAAAATCCCCAGGAATTTTTCGGGGTTGGTCTATCCGGTTATGTCGGGTCCCGTCCCTCACCACCCAGCCATCTCATTGTAGGATCGGCAGAACCCCAGTGGCGTAGCGAACATAACTGGCGCCCAGGGCACGACACTTTATTGACGTCCCCCTCTCCCTCCAGATACAAATCTTGTTTGTCTTGAAGATCATTTGGAGCCCCTCTGCGAGTGGCGCCAGGAGCATGATAGAATCCCTTACCCCCCCCTCGCTACGATAGTGCAGAACCCATAATGAGCTTGTTAAAAGAGGTCTTCTTAATGCCCACAGGACGGAGAGTTAAAAAAATAATAAGTGTGCCTTTATAGTAAATCGAAGCAGACAACAGCTAATGTACTTTTCATAAACTTTCAAAGATAATAAAAATTTGCGATAAGACAGGAATTTCTTTCGTTCTGAACAAAAGATCTGTAAACATTAAAATTTGTGAGAAATACGAAGGTGGCACGCGTGTTCGAAATTTTAACTGTTGTTTACCGTATTCCGAGAACGACGATATGGACAATCGCGAAAAATAAAGACATTATTAAATCTGCTAACGTTGCGAAAGGGGTTAAATCAATTTCTAAACAGAGATCGAAGACATTAGATCATGTCGAGAAATTTCTTTTGCTTTGGATAACTAAAAAAACAGTGCTGGAGACATCGTATCGGAAGCAATTATTTGCGAGAAAGCTAAAAAGATACACGCTGATCTCACGAAAAATCAAGCAGGAACTAGCCAGGAAAGCGAGGTGTTTAAAGCCAGCCATCTTTTTTACACGAGAACGGAATAATCATTTTTACATTACTTCTTATGGGAAAGGTTGGTTTGGTATACGTCCAATTCGGTATAAGTCCAAACATCGGAAACGGATTAAGGTCGTATACCGAGATTCCACTGTATTTTTATTAGAGACTTGTGAACTCTCTCTCCGAGGATAGGCTTAGCTGTCAGAGCTGTTAGCTGTAAGATAGTTAGCTCATATTTAACCGCATTTAACCGTAATATTATTATTGCCTCCTGTAATCAAGATTTGTTATTTTAATAAATGCTTTGTTTATTTGTTAAACCTGTCTCCTGTCATTGGAAGGACGCCTGCCGGCTTACAAACGCACTCCCCGCTCACTTTTTGCCCTCCTAAGCCATCCGTCGACGTCGAGATCGGGCTTCGCCAGCCTGTGCCGATTAAGTGGTTAAT